GCGTCCGCTCCTTCCTTCGGCCTGATGGCGCTCTCCTCGCCTTTACCGTGCTTTGCTTAGTCCACTTTTCTGTTTCCTTAAAACTGCTGTTTAAGTGGTTATTTAACGAGTCGGCGATTCCAGCAGCTTTGCTGGGATGTTGCTCAGCCAGCGAGAGGCAGGGAGTGTGCCAGTGTCGGTCACTGAGCTCACTGATACCAGCTGTGTTAGCACAGTTTTCCCTCTTGGTCTGCAGGGAGGGATGCGAGCACAAACACCAGTTTTTTTTTATCAGATCACTGGTTTTAGGTTACAGTGACCCGGGATTGTGCTTCACTGTCTGTAGGAGCCCGAGGGACCAGCTCTGAGCTCGCTGGTTGGGTTTTAAAGAGGACTCAAACGATGACCTGTGGGAATGTTACCTTACAGGCTTGGCTCTGCACGGTCAGGACCGCAGCCTGCACAGCAGCACCTTTTGGGAGATCGCTGCAGAAGGAGCTCTGGACAAGGCCATGGAGAAGGGAAGCTGCTCGCCTGCCCTGGATTGCTGGTTCGTGGCAGTGTTTGCAGTCACAAGCCCAGCGAGCTCACGGTGTCAGGAATTACCTCAGGAGACCCCGAGAGCCGTCCATGTGTCTGTCCCACTTGGCCCCTGCTGCTGTGGTCCAGCAGAAGGCTGTGCATGGCAGGACAGAAGAGTTCAAACTGGTCTACAGGTTCCCAGGGATAAAATACTGCAGGATCCTGTCGAGACTGAAGCTGCTGCAGACTGCCACCTCCATGATCATGCTGCCTCCCATCTGCTACCTCTACCTGCAGGGCCAGGTGTCCCAGAATATCCTGCTCTACACAACTGGCATTGCTGTCTTTGCTGGGGCAATGCTGTATGGTATGAGCTACTTTTTCAGAAGAATTATTGGATTAATCTACTTAAGTGAAACTGGACAAACTGTCAGAGTGGCCCACTTGACATTTTGGGGAAGACGTAATGACATTTACTGTCCCATAGACACAGTGGTGACTTTGGATGAAGTTGGAGATAGCAAGGACGAGCTCCTTCACCAGTTCAAGCGGTATAACAGTACAGATACTTTGTATTTTACAATTAAGTATGGCCAGATTGTAGACAGACAGAAATTTACTCAAATATTTGGAGAATTTGTGTGACACAGAGCTCATTTCCAATGACTTTCCTTGTTCATTGTGCTTATTCCACGAGGTTTAAATAGTTCACCAAACTACACATCCCTGTCCATTTCCTGTGCAAAGCCTGCAGTAAGTGCACCCAGTGTACAAAGTCACAGTGGTAAGGCACAGCCCACTGGATTAAAGGTCCTGCAGCTTGTGTATGGTGTGAGGAGTGTCTGTTCCATGTGGCATTCAGTAATGTCACAGTATTCCAAGCCTGAACTGTCCTTGGAATGCGCCATAGGAGGCCAAACTGGCCTCTTTGGTGGTTATAAAATATGAAAAATCTCTTGAAATGAAATGCAGGAGCTGCCAGAGCATCCTCACTTCAACCTCAGTGTTTCTTTTAGCTCATTTCAGGTTGGCTGGGAAGCCTCTGGACATTAAAGCTGGTCTGGTGCATCCCTATGATGGGCACTGCTGAATGTCAGAGAGGGACATGCTCATGTATCAGTGCAATTGAGGGTATGGGAAGGTGTGTGGGCTGTCCTGGCCTCAGGAGGGTCCTCCAGGATGGGAGTGGAGCTGGGCAAAAGAGACACTGGCAGCTCAGCTGTTAAGTTCAAGGCTGGGACAATATTTCAGGAGCCTCTTACAGGAATTGCCATTCCTCATTGGAACGGGAAAAGCATCACCTGTCTCCATGAAGGACTGTGGTCTTATTCCATGATATTGGTATGAGTTCTCCTTTTCTGAAACTTTGGTAGAAATGAGGAATTTAAACCCAAGAAAGAACCAAATATATCACCTATAATGTGTAATACATAGTTTGAATTGTCAGAAGCAAGATAACTCCTTACACCCCTCCTAGTTCTAGCTTAATGTGAAACTGGCAAATAAACTGACTCTCACCAATAATCTGGAGTGTTCTTTCTTTATTTTTTCCTCATGGGAAATGAAACCTCTGTTTCTTGGCAGATCAGCAAAGGATCAGTGAAGTAAAATTGCCATTTAAGAGTACAGGGTAACCCTGAATTACTATTTCTCATGTTTAACTTTTCCTAATGGAGTTCTGTGAGTTTAAATTTTGGCTGACAGTGTAGAACAGCAATATCATAAGAAATCCAAATATTCCTTGGTGTAAACTCCATGACAACAAAATACTTTGGGCTGTACAGGTATACTGCATTTTTTTGAGGTTTATCTTCATCAGAATGTCTTTAATATGGACTAATGGTTCAGTTCAGGCATGTACTGGGTGTAAAATGAAAAGCCCTGGAGAAGTTCAATTATAAATATTTTATTTAAGAATATTGATTACACATGATTGATGTCATTGTTATGAATCTGTGTACAGTTACTAGTTACACCATGAAGTGTACTTAAGTATTTGTTTAAACATTTATTTGGCACTGTCTACAGTATGCTGTAAACAATATTAACTTTATATGCTTGAGCTGCAGTGCTTTCTATGGTATTCTCTAACGATTTCATCAACATGTTGTACACAATTATACAGTTACTGAGTGTCAGTAAAAATTATAAAAACACCTAGAGTAGTCATAATAAAAGTGAAGATGTGGTAAGACTTCAAATTACTGGACCTTTGCTTCTGTAAAAGTACAAGACTTGCTAGAGACATTCACTAAAACTACTGCACTGATATGTTGAACAAACTAATTCCCAAAATGCTGTCAAATCCAGTTCTTGGTTTGACTTTCCTTTGCTGATAGTACGCTTACGAGGACAGCGATGACAATGAAGTTTTGTTGAACACCAATTTTTACCAGTCCTTCCCCCAGATTTCTACAACCTCTGTTCAAAAACCTGCTCAGGTTCTGCCCAGCTGGCACCAGAATTCTGCTTTCTGCAGAGGTTTACAGAAACCCCACTGGGTTTAAGCTGGCATAAGTGACTGTGCTTGAGTTTCCAATACCAGTACTTTAAAATGGGAAAACAATGATTAATACTTCTCAAAGCAAGTAAGGAACCTTTTCACATTTTGGTAGTTGTATTAAACATGTAAATCTTTTAACTTCTCTGTTTCTTATTATGCACTTAAAAATTGTGGTCAGGTCCTGAAAGGGCAACTGTAAAAGTCCATTGTGGTCCCTGTTTTTTGGTGCACAACAAAAAGTTAAAATTAGTAAACAAAATCCAGATGCTGACCAAGAAAAAGAAAAAGAAAGGCACCAGATCTAGTTCAAGTCAGCCTTCAGCAAACAGTAAAGAGACATCCAAAACAATTCTCTGAAGAAAAATCAATGAACTGTTGACACATTTTTTGATCCTGTGGCTTTCTAGAAGATCTCTGAACTATCCATGACTTAGAATATACTATTAGAACAAAAATAGAATTACTTTGCATTATAAATGTGCAGGCAGGACTAGGCCTTCACTGTAGTGGCTCTGATACCAAATAATGGCATTTCTGCTTAGTTTTACAAAATACCTCAAGTATTCGTGTAGAAGTTATAATAGATAAATTAATGGCTATTGTGTGTTCTGGGCAAATAGTAAAATAATCTGGAATCATTCTAGACTGCTGGCAGAAGTGGAAGAATGTGCTTTGCATGGTTCTCTAAGCTTTGTCAGATTACATACCTCAGGGTAGAGTTTTCTCTGTACAAGTCTGCTTGTAAGAGAAGTCAAAAGTTTTAAAACCCATCCCGTGTGATGAGGACAAAAGGACAAGGGCTTCAGTGCCACCTGCAGGTGTGGCTGAGGGCACCAGTGCCCCTGAAGCAGTGAGTGCAGGCTGGGCAGAGCTGCCCTGATGCAGCTGGTGTGGCAGATGCCTGTACTCGAGGGAATAAAGCTGGAAATTATTCTGTAAAATACTGTGCTTGGCAGTGGTGGAAAGCAGAGCTTTCCTTGAACACTGATTTGATCCCAGCTGCCATTAGAGAAGGGCACTCTGTGTGGCAGGAGTGTGGCTCTGAGCGTTTGGCCACGCTTTGCTGCTTCTGGAGGCAAATCTACCAGGGTCACCCGTGGAAACAGAGTGTTCCAGGTCCTGCTCAGACAGGGCAGAGTCAGGGACACGGCTGAAGGAGGACTCTGCAGTCAGCATGGCCCAGGCCAGAAGAGGGAGGTTCTGGGGATGCACAGTGAGGGACAGCTGCATGGCCCTGCTGGTGACCAGTGCCAATGCTCTGCCTGGGGCGCGTGTGCATGGAGCAGCTTGCCTTGGGCAGGATCACAGACAGAACACAAACCTCAGTTTATGACTTTACACTTGTAAGTAGAGAAGACATGAATTAATGCAAACTAATTTCATAATCAGCTGTTCAGTGCAAGGGAACTGCTTTTTACTTGAAGTTTGCTAAGATGTCACTGAAGATGTTCAGGAAGAGGTGTGCATGGTGGTCCTTGAAGATCAGCGTGGGACGAAAACGGATGGATCTGTCTCCACAGCCTCCCAGGACAACCCCTGAAATGAGAACACAGTAGGTCCTCTAGTCATTTCCATCTTTGCCAAGTATCCAGAAGAATTCAGGTCTGTGAATGGGGATACCCTCACTGTGGAGGGCCAACAGAAGCTCCCCAGATCCTGCTAGCCACACCATGACACAGCACATTGTGTTGTGCTTCACAGCAGTTTAGAAGAACACTGTGGGTGCCTGGGGCTGTTCTATAAAACACTTGGAGTATTGGGACTAATCCTGACAGCAGTGGGAGGAATGCATCCAACACAGAGCTCACACAGCATCTGAGATTTCAGAGCTGCAGTACTCTCCTGCTCAAGTGTCCTGGTGCCACAACAAGACACAGGAGGTTTCTCTGCATTGGTTTTTAAACTAATTTGTTTTTAATGACAAGAAGTTAAAATGTCTCAGTGTCTGCAAACCTCTCCCAGCAGTGTTTTAAATGAACTTTTTAGCTCAAAATAAATTTTTAGAAATGTTTGAATGGGAACCCATATTACTAAGCTGAGCTTACCCTGCCTCAAAGCAGAACCGCAGTTTACCATGAAACAAACCACTTGCCTTCTCTCCCTGCTGGCTTAGTTTCCAAGAACAAAAAATGGTGTCTTTCTTTTATACTTTAAAAGTTAGGTTTCACCACAGTTTAGGTGTACCCTGCCTGCTTCTTTCAACAGATAGGAGTAACAGCAAAAACAGATAGCAGCAAACACAGGGCCCACACAGTTAAAGAGAGAATTTTAGGTGTGGATCCCAAGGTTCCCCTCTAGATACCTGGGCCTGTCTGCAGCTGTTAACAGTTCTGTGGGAAAAGAGGATGCCACTGTAGATCTGTGCCCATTTTAGGCACTTGTATTTAATCATTAGGTGTTCCTAGGTATAGGAAATATGTATTTATAAAACTCATCATTCTTCTCCCTGTGTTTTCCTGAGTGACATTGACTTTCATCTAACTTTCCTTTTTCTAGAAGTAAGCCATGTCCATGGGCACCTAAAGCCACTGCAGCGGACTCTGAACCTGTTGTCACAAAATCTCATCCCATAAACAGATCTTTTCCAGTAACCTCAGACCTGCAGAGGCTGGTAAATACACACACCATGCAACAGACTGCTCTGCCTCTGACATAATTTCCAGAAAGTCTAAATTCAGCCTTGTCATTTCCCTTCTGTCCTCTGATACTGAAATACTCATGCAGGATATGAAAAGGAAAATGTGAAGCATTACCTTCACATGTGAATGCTACACATGAAGCTCATCCACACACACACAGTTTCTTACCTTTGTTTCTGGCTATTGTAATTAGCTTGTTTCTAGTTGCATCATCTGGAGTGTCAAACGAACAGAATGTTCCTCTTCCTCTCACTCTGCTGATGAGATGGGGGTAACGAGCCTGCAGAGAGGAGAGACAAGCACATGGCAGGTGCTGCAACAGAGGGCACTGGTGGCAGGGCTGGCTGTGCCAGGTGGAAGCCCTGCTGCCTCCTCGCTCTGCTGGAGTGGAGCACGGCTGACATGGTGCTCTGCTCAGCCTGCAGAGCCCCACACAAAGCAGGGAGGGAGAGTGAGTCTGACCCATGAGCTGGGTCAAGTAAAGTATTCTTTGGAACAAGCATAACACACCTTATTTACATCTACAGTGGACTCCAGGAAAACCTGAGCATAAACCATCTGCACTGGGGCTGGAAACCAGCTCACTCTTACCCTGCACTGAGACACTTGCCAGGAGTATCTGCATCACTTATTCTCAGTCACAGCCCTCATCTTTTGGAAGAGCAATCTTTTGGATAGGACTTGCTGTATTCCTGCCCTCTAAAGCAGGAGATGATAGTGTTTTCTGTCTCCTGCCTGCTATGTGTTAAAGGTGTGGGGAGGTGTTTGGGATTATTCTGTGCAAAATGCCTTTGGAAGCTGAGCACCTGCAAGCCTGTCTCTAAATGCCTGTCTGTAGAGTTCCACAGTAGAAGCTGAAAGGAATTTCCCTTAAACAAGGGAAGGAAAGATACAATTTTCTTATTTCAACAGCCCATCAGAACTGGAACAAAATATGAAAGGACCTTCCTTTGAAAAGAACTTTAGGACAAGGAAATACCAGCTGCTTACAGTAACAAAACCTAGCAGAGTACTTTAATTAGCTGCAGTACATATCTTCAGATATTTTGGGAATCACCCTTTATATTGGATTAAGCTACACAAACCCAGCATTTTTAAGTCAGTAAAAGAAAGTTTACTTCAATTCCAGATGGGACACAGTTATTCAGCCTGTGTTGAAGTTACTGTTATGGTCTAGACCCCAGCTCTAGCTCCTCAGCCCAAATGTTTGAACTGGATAAGATCAGATCCTACTGCAGCACCAATTTCTCCTTCTTATCCACAATCCTTCCAGATGTTTACCTGCAAATCCAGCAGCCCAGTCAGCAGTGCTTTCCCAGCATGGGTTGCATTGTTTAGAAGGTCTTCTGTTTTAATAACCTTAATGACTTCAGCAAGCATAAGGTTCTTGGATGGATCTCCAAGCCAGGTGTTAAAAATCCGGTAGGGCTGGGGAAAGAGTGGGAAAAGAATTGTGGAACATGTTAGCAGGCAAATCACTATAAATTAAGAAAAGGCATCACACTGGCAGTGTAAACATGGTGTATTAAAAGGCATCCACTAATCTCACCAACCCCCTTTTTTATGTTGTAAAGGAAAATCCCATTGCTGAGCTGAAACACAGGGTAATTAATTCATGCCTCTCATTTAGTGCACTCTGCCTTGCTACTCTGATGTCTCACTGGAACACAGCTACAGATGACAGGAAATCAGCATCATCTATACAGAATTTACATCAAGCTTTATGTTCTTCCCCTTTATTTGACTTTTAATTTATTACATCTAAAAAGTCATTAGTGCAAAGAAGAAATTTTGCTGGCAGAATCTCTAATGCTGACATACAAGCTCTGAAAT